ATTCCAATGTGCCGCCTCCCCTAGCAACCAAGCGAGAGCTGTCCCCAGATATCAGATCTTAGCAACGGAACTAGTCACGGCTACTGGTTTTCCCACCATGACTCATAGCGGCTGCTGGGGTATATAAGCTCTGTCTCTCCATTGAGATTCATTCTGACCAATCTTCTTGAACAAGCAACACTCTCCGCTCGCTGCCTGGCAGCCTCGCTTCTTCGCCTGCCTGGCGGTCTGCCCGCCAGCGAGCATGGCGACCCACCAGCTGTCCTTCTGAGCTTCCTCACCAACCAACTCTCATTCTGCACCTCCAGCACCAGACTGTCTATCATATAACATATATTATACAAGAAAACCACATTAGAGTTTCCTTCCATCCTGAGTGCTAGACCACATTAATATCTCAAAACCCCTACAACCTCCTCCTCCGCTGCCTGGCGGCCCTCGCCTCCCCGGCAAGAGCATGGCGACCCTAAGCTGGTCCTCTCTGAGCATCCTCACCAACCAGCTCTCTCTACATCACGCTTGTAACCACGCTGCCACTTCCCAGCACCAAGCTGCATTGTACATCCAATACAACATGTATGCAGAGAGCACATCGTGATTTTTTAGTCTCGAACCAAACATCCTATACCCCACAAATGTTGACCCCCAGAGATTCGCACTCACACAGGATGGAGGAGAAACAGATCACGCTCCCAGTCTTCAAGCATCATGGAAGACTGGCTTATCCACCCAGAAGCAGCTCTCATCGGCTCTACAGCTACTGTCTCTAAGCCACAGGTTAGACACCTTAGAGCAGCTCTGCTACTCTAAGCAGACAGCCGCTCCTCTTCCTGCCCCAAGCACCACGTCCTACTGACCCCAGCTCACCCGTCCTGCCTCAGACGCCGCCCCCGGCCCAGCAGTATCCCCTGCCGCTCCTGATGCAGCCCCTGCTCCCGATGCCGGCCCATGCACCTGAGTGCGGACCCACACACCCCTCTTTTCTCCCTCAGGTACCCCCTGCTACTGTCCTGCACCCTGCTGCTGTCAGACCCAGCTGCTGTCACGAGCCCTCATCGGCTTCTGCTGACGCAGCCTCTGCTCCTGACCCAGGCCCACACACCTCAGCAGGCGCATCTGACGACTCTGTACCTGCCGTGAGGGAAGCACAACATTCATCGCCCCACACACCCTTTTTCTCCCTCTCTACTCCCACAGATATTGTGTATCTAGACAGTTGTCTCTCTAGCGGCCGGCTCATCCACGCCATCGCCGTTATGGCTCACATGTGGCATGCACCCCTGCAGACAACAAGTCTCCTACACCGCCTGGAGGGAAGAGAGTATTGCAGTGATTTCTCCCTACAAACGCTGTTTGTCGCTGAGTAGCCGACCCCACGAATTCCCCCAGTGTATGCCTCGTGGTCTGGGTCAACCAGCCGCCATACATCACGGAGGTCAACTGCTAGCCACGCCTGCCTCCGCTATTTAAGACCTGACCTCGTGGTGACCTCTTCTTCTAGCTACAGCCGCAGAGCTACACCACCTCCTCCGCGCTGCCTGGCGGCCCTCGCTCCCCCGCCGGCGAGCATGGCGACTCACAAGCCGTCCTCCTCTGAGCATCCTCACCAACCAGCCTCTCTACACCACGCTTGTAACCACGCTGCCACTTCCAGCACCAAGCTGCATTGTACATCCAATACAACATGTATACAGTACGTATAGAGGTACAGGTCATGCCCTTGAGTTTGCTACACCCCCCAGTGCCCCCACAAAAAAATACATATTGCATAATGACTCACTTATATATATATATATATATATATATCAAATAGTTTGTGTACCATTATAATATTACTGTACTTTCACATACTCAAATATAGTATGCTTTAAATACACCCCCGTGCCCCCACAAAAATACATATTGCACAATGACTCACTCTTATATATATATATATATATATATCAAATAGTTTGTGTACCATTATAATATTACTGTACTTTCACATACTCAAATATAGTATGCTTTAAATACACACCAAACATACTTAAACTTTATAAGTAACAGTTAAACAAAAAGCAAAACGACATATAGGATAGGGAAAAAAGTAAAAAAGTGTAAAAAATTAGGACCATCTTTATTTTTGAAATGAAAACTACAACTTTCTACAAAGTAACTTTTCTTGTTTTTTTGTTGGCAAATTCTTCAATGACATTGTCAAAAACTATTTCATCTGTCAATTGTCGCTCTATAGACAGTATGGCAAGATTTCTCAACCGCAAGGTGCTCATAGTAGATCTTAAGTAATTCTTGATCAGTTTTAGTTTCGAAAACTCCTCTCACAGGTAGCAACACTAACAGCAATTGTGAGGAAAATCCTCAGCATTATTACTATATTTGGAACCGAGTTCCCAAGGTTATACTTTTGAATAAACTGCAAAAGTTCAAGGGGGCCTTCTTTCCACGTCTGTATTCTGTCTTTAATAGTTATAGCAGCAACAGCAACAAAATGCTGAAGTCTTTTTCTCTCAACGAGGAACTCCTCTTTATCAATGTCGTCGTGATCGTGATCTATTTGACACTCATATTTATCATCCAAAAGATTCAATAGGGTAAGGAAGGCATATTTCTCAGCAAGTTCATGAAGCTGTTGAAATCTCAAAGTTGTTTCTTGGATCACTCTGTCCAGCGAAGAAAACATTTCTCTCCTCAATTCAATGTCGTATGGCAATTCAGCATCTCGTGATCCTTCACCAAACATTTGTTTCTTCTTTTTGGGTCGACGCTGACGCTCCATGACTATCCCCAGATCATTGCAAATTTCTTTGGCATAGTTAACTCCATTACTCACTTGCTTGTCCCTGTTTTCAACTAGAAATGTTTCTAATGCCCTGAGTTTTATATCACATTGTTGTATGTTCAAGCCCTTGGTTTGGAGGTAAGTCTGTGTGTCGTTAATTTCTAGAAGGACGGGTCCCCACAGGCCAAGAAAGCACAAAAAGGAAAATGATTGCAACGCACCAAGTAGAACACCAGCATCTGCCCTGGTAGCTGTATTTTCTTCTTCACCAGTTAACTTTTCTAGGGCACTTAAGATTTTTGAGAAATGTTTCTTTACAACACTTACAGCTTCTCCCCTCGCACTCCACCGAGTTTCTATTATGCGCTTGACACTTCGACCAGTGACTGAAGTTAGAACATCCCAGCGATGGGTTGATGAAGAAAAAAATACAAACAAACGTTCCACACATCCAAAAAAGGTAACAGAATTCACAGCAACAGAAGCTGCATGAACACCCGCCAAATTCAGCGAGTGATTTGTACAAGCGATAAATTCTGCTTTTTTATTAATTTCCTTGATACGTTTCTGAACACCAGTATGAACACCAGCCATCACCGCAGCATTATCATATGCTTGCCCTCTACAATTTTGAATATCAATTCCGTCTTTCTCTAATTTTTCCAAAATCATCATTGAAATATTCTCGGCGGTTTTACCTTTTGTTTCAATGAAATCGACAAATGATTCCACAACCTTCACTTTATCTCCATCGATCATAACATAGCTTAAAACTTGGCTCGTTTGATCCTGATGTGAAATATCAGGAGTGCTGTCGAATATCATGGAAAAGTACTTTGCTTCTTTTACTTGCTTGATGACTTTGCTTCTTACGTTTTCTCCCAAAATTTCTATAAACTCGTTCTGAATAGTAGGAGACAGATAGGAAGTAGCAAACTTGTTTCCCAGCTGGATTCTTAGATGATGTTCACGTAGCACTGGATCATATTTCGCCAACAAATCAACTAGCTCTAAAAAATTTCCTCTATTTTCCGTTGCTTCAGTCTCGTTTCTCTCATAATTCATTCCTTCTCGGTGGCCTCGTAAAGCCAAATTCTGTTTAGCTATGAATCTAATAATATCAAGCAATCTTGAAAGGATTTCCTTCCACTTTTTCACTTGGCTTTCAACAACTTCTTGTTCTTTTTTATCAATTGTTGCTCCACGAGCAATCCTAATTTCCAACTCCTTCCATTGTGTGAAATTCCGAACGTGAGTTACTTCTGTCTGAAAACAGTTTGCAACAAAAGCAGTAAAGAGGATTAACTTGCCGCCGATACAAAGGGATGGATTAACGTCTCCAGTAGCTGCAGATATGGGTGATGAGCAGACCCAAAAGTGCCGCCCCCCAAAAGTGCCGCCCGGGGCGGACCGCCCCCCCCGCCCCCCCCTAGCTACGCTAGTGCATGTATACAGAAAGCCCATTGTGAGTTTCCTTTCTCCATCCCATCCTGAGTGTGAACCCAAACAACCCATACTCCACACGTGTAATTCACATCTTCAGGGGTGAGTACAGACTAAGGAGAAGTAGGAAAGGTGTATATATACAGAGGAGGGTGAGATCAGGTCCACAATGGTCAGGTATTAGATAATGACCCTACTAATCTTTAAAAAGCACCGCAACGGTCGGTAGTCAGGTCAGAGGGTAAGGTGACCCAACCTTCTCACGTGGTTTGTAAGCAGATAGAAACATGAATGTTGTAGCATTGTGTAGACGAATTCATAGATTTTTTCATGCATATTTTAAGCTGCAAAAAACTGTATGTTTGTACCTAGCATATGTTTTGTGTAATAAATGTTTGTAATCAGGGAAAGACTTTATGCTCACCCTGTGTATATATATATATATATATATATATATATATATATATATATATATATATATATATATATATATATATATATATATATCCACATACCTACACATATATATCTATATAACTATACAGTACTGTATATCCAAGTAGCTTTGAGACGCACTTCCTTATATATATTTTCCTTGAAATTAACCAAGGAATCCAAAGTGTCCCTAAATTTTCCGTTTTCTACATAGTAAACAATCATCCCTTGGACACCTGAAACAGTTTTATTGACTTTATGTGATATACATACAGTATATCCTATATTAACAGCTGGAATCGAATCATAAAGTATGGTAAAGAATATTTGTAATAAGTTATATATGTAACAGTTTAAAACAATAATTCAATATAGTTCTAATATTCTGCCACAAAATGTAATATTTTTTGCTCTATGCGTTACAAAATTAAGAAATATTATGCAATATCATCGACATGTTCAGAGTTATTTAATATGGTAACCTAAAGTCAAATATTCATATATCTTCAATTTTTAATAAATATTTGGACACTTCACCCTCAGTACACACACTGTGTTGCGTGAGATTAGTGTTATTGTTGAGAGCAAATTTTTCCATAAACTTCCAGTAATATAAAAGGTATGGTTGGTTTGATTTTATCACGATGTTTAATGAGATATGCAAAGTTATTATAAAATATCGCGAATTCAGCTGCCTCCCTAAAGCTGGTAATGCTGTACAGATGTAGCTACTTCAAGTTTATAAGATAGTAATTCGTCCTAACTTGGTGTACTGCTCTCATATCTAGGGTGGTTCTTCTTATGCCAAACTGTTATGTAGGGTGGAATCAAAGGCATTTCGTCTTATTAACTCTTCTCCTTTATATAGCTGGAATGAAGTCAAATAATGGTAAAGTGTCTTAACGAATGTATATATCGTCAAGACCAACATATGTGGCATTATGGTAACTCGTCCCTTATCCCAAAGACAAAGAAGAGACTGCCAATAAGGTAAGAAATAAGTGATTCCTTCATATGGTCAGAGTCAGTTAGGTTAGGTTAGGCTTGGTTAGGTTAGGTTAGGTTAGGCTTGTTTTATGTTTTTCTTGTGTTTTTTGTGTGTTTTGTATTCGCTTAGCCATTATTTTTTTCAGAAAACGCCCCACGAAAGAAATTGATAAAAAAACCCGGCCAATTTCCAACGGAAATGAAGGTCATAATCGGTCTAAACACATAAAAACACTAGAATTGTTTTTTTTTTTTACTTTCTAACAGAGTTGGGTGCGCTTATGCAAATTTACCCTAATTTGGGTAGTATTTGACAACCATGTCCCGCCCTCAACACAACTTCAAATTTCGGTAAATTTTTACTTGTTGCCACTAATCGAAATTGAAGTTGAAACGGTTTTTCTGGTGGTTTTGGATGTGTTATGAACGAATTTGGCCTATTTATACTTTATGAGATAAGTCCCCCTTCCATCTCAGAATCTAGAGATTTGCTATAAAAATTAAAGTAAAAAGTGTTCAGAACACATTAACAACCATCGGATAAACATAGTTTTGAACCTAACCTAACCTATATATTGCTTATACGAGGTCCGACACAAAAATAACGAGACTGACCCTATAACTCGAAAGGCAGAGAAACCGTGAAATATGTTGACCGCCCTGGCCGTCCACGCACAGCAGTTACCGATGACATTGAAAAAGTGCCAGGTGTGATTAGAAAAAAATGTAGGTTGGGAGTTTGAGCGATAGCTGAGAAAGTTAATTTAGACAGGGAAAGTGTTCGATGCATTTTCACTGAAGAATTGAACATGACAAAGGTTTGTGCAAAAATGGTTCCAAAAATGCTGTCAAATAACACTGTCAAATAACAATGCGCCACTCCACAACATTTTGTCTGTGAAGCAGTTTTTAGCCAATAAAAGCATCACTGTGCTTTTGCACCCACCCTATTCGCCAGACCTGGCTCCCTTAGTCTTCTACCTCTTCCCAAAGATCAAGTCCGTGCTCAAAAGAACCAATTTTTGTTGGTAGAAGAGGTGAAAGCAAACACGACGGAGCTCAACAGCCTTACAGCTGTGTGTCAACTCAGAAGGGAACTACTTTGAAGGCGATCACAGTTGATTTTCTAAATTTGGTAAATAAAAAGTGTTACAGTATCAGTCTCGCTTTTTTGTGTGTTGGACCTTGTATATATCCATTGAAGAAAAGTTCGTGAATATTCATCCAATGGCTGTCTGCAAGTTTCCAATTTTCAATATTACAGACACAAAGACTATAAAAACAAATATACAACTTTATATCATTTCTGGTGCAAATCAGTATTAACGGAGTTTCTCAAATTTCTAGGCACAAATTTCTGTACCCGCCATGTTACCAGGGTCACTTGTTTCATCCTCTCCTCCTCCTCGTTGTGTCATGGTCTCATCCTCTCCTCCTCCTCTTTGTGTCATGATAACCAGTGATTTTCAAGTATCGTGTCAGGTGTCTTGGCTGGCCAATCATGTGAAAAGTTCTTTCTCCCTTATCTAGCTGTTGTTCAGTGAGTTTATCAGAACAATAGTGAGGCAATCCAAATATTACAAGATCACAGTGTCCTACCAACATCAAGAGTGTGTCCTAAGTGTGGAAATTGTTTACTTTTAAGAAAAGAAGGAAATTCTTTTGTCTTTAACCATAAGCGTACTGACAAGAAGTCAAAGCGAATTATTAGATGTGCTTTTCAGGTCAGTTTATTTAAGGACACTTGCGTTCAGGCATCAGGAAGGAGCACTCTTATAAATATTTGGCTTGATATTTATTTCAGTCTGATTTTAAAAATCAAGAAACCAACCTCCACCACTACCTTCTCCAGATCACCCAGCTGTATCCTCCACCACGGTAGCAGGTAAGCTCCCAAAAAATGTTTAGGTTTGGTTTGATTTGGTTTTATGGTGTGTTTTACTCAAATTTGACCGCCATTTTGGTGGAAACTAGCAGGTTTGGTTACAAATTATTATTATTTTTTTTAAACCACTGATTTGCACCGGAAATGAAGGTCAAATTTTAGTAAAACACACTAAAATAATACAAAAATATATACGTATATATTTATCAAAACCTGAGGACAGCCAATGGAAGAATATTTATCGAAGTAATTTTTCATAAGTTTTTGGTTTGATACAACCAGTAGTCATGCTTTTTTTTTGCCGCAAAATTACTGAAATGCACCTTACCCTAACGTAACCTTACCTAACCTACCTTTACTTAACCTAATCTTTACCTTACCTAATCTTTACCTAACCTAATCTTTACCTAACCTAATCTTTACCTAACCTAACTTTACCTAACCTAATCTTTACCTAACCTAATCTTTACCTAACCTAATCTTTACCTAACCTAACTTTACTTAACCTAATCTTTACCTAACCTACTGTAATCTTTACCTAACCTAACCTTTACCTAACTGGTAATTTTTCAGAACTAACCCGCAGGCGAAATTGAGCGAAAACGAATATATAAACGCCGGATTTTCGCTGTTTTTTTATAGTGGACACTATTTTAGTTTGTGCAAATGTGTTAAAAAAATGGATACAGTCGGCCCTTAACATACTCGGGTTTAGCATACACGGATTTGCAAATACGCGGATTGCCCCGCCGGAGAAATATTCTGTACATTGAAGTAATTGAAGTACATTCACATCGCGTGCGGCACCGCACACTGCCCACCACCCCCCCCCCACACACACACACGCACATCGCTCGTCACGCCACCCTGCGCTGTAACCACTCTTGTGTTGACATCAGCATTGTAGGTCGACCATTAATTTTTTTTACCAAAAAATCGTTAATTTACGATATTCCTTGTTTATAGGTCGACCCAAGTTTTTGAGGGTATTGGAACAACAAAACCTTCAGTAAAAACACTCTACGTCCTATAAACTGAGGCTCACCGTGCCTGAAACACCAAGTGCCGAAGGCAAATTGTTTTCCATTTATTATTATGACATTTTACGCTGAAACGCGGGCAGTTTCAACAGAAATATTGTATATTTCCATTCAAGTATTTATTCAAGTCAATTAGGAGGGAATATTATTGTAATACAACAGTTTTTTAACTGAAAACCATTCGAAAAGCGATTACGGTAACATCTTTTGAACGAAAGAAAGCGAAAGTCATTGCTTTCGTCACGATTTTATCCCACTTTCCACTGTAATACGTACGTCATTTCAGCAAAAATATTATATTTCCGTGAATGTATTATATCAAGCACAGTATGAATAGAATATCACTAATATAACAGTATTTTAACCGAAAACTATTAAAAAACGAGTAACATATCTTGAACATCGGAAGGTTAGGTAAAGTCTTTTGTTTTCATGTAGTTTATCCTAATTTACATTGAAATACATTACGTTTCAGCAAAACTACTATTTATTTCTGAGAATATGGAAATGTAATATTTTTGCTGAAATGACGTACGTATTACTGTGGAAAGTGGGATAAAATCGTGACGAAAGCAATGACTTTTGCTTTCTTTCGTTCAAAAGATGTTACCTTAATCACTTTTCGAATGGTTTTCAGTTAAAAAACTGTTGTACAGTATTACAATAATATTCTATCCTAATTCACTTGTGATGTAACAGTTTTTTAACTGAAAACGATTAAAGAAACACGTGTACCGTCTAGGTGATACGGCAGAGCCCTGGTCACGGAGGCTTTGTTTTTGCATCGGCCCTTCTTAAGCAGCCTTTAATTTTAGTGTACGTTGAAATTGTGTTTACCGGTATATTCTTATTTTCTTGCTTCTTATTTTCCAGAAATATGACAAGTTTGTATATAATACAATGTTATGGTACTTTTAATTTACAAGTATTCATTTTTAAAAATACAGAAGACACCAAACAAATACCAGTACGGATATTTGCGTGACTCTCCCGCCAAAAAACCAAACAGCTGGTACTCTCTCCCTCAGCCCTACCAAAAATAGCCCAACGACATCTTTCTTGTTTATTCTCTTCCACTTTCTCACTTTAACTGGTATTTTCTACTTCATATTGCCTACATCAGATAAACTACAGTACAGTGGTCCCTCGGTTAATGAGCGCCTCGGTTAACGAGATTTCGGTTGACGAGTTAACAAGTTTCTTACGAACTGACCTGAACATGTTTTCGCTTGCACTTGGCGGTCAACCAGCTGTAGTATTAGTCCGCCAATACAGTAATTGGTTCTAGGGCTTAAATTCCTTACTATTTTAGTAAATATCAAGAAGTTTATATTATTCAATAATTTTAAAAGTTTAATATTAAATTTGTTAGTCATTTTAACAATTATTGAACATAATTGAAGGTAAGGTCACTAGTTTCATGCGCGCCATCCAGCCTGCCAACACACCATACAGGCATTAGTCTCTCTCTGTTTTCAGTGCAGGTAACATCTTGCTTGAGACTCTCTTCAACTAAACGCTTTTTTTCTGTGTTTCCAAGCAAATTATTGGTTATTTTGAATTTTTTTTTACATATTGACAATATATAGCGCAGTGCAGTGTTATTTTAAAGAAAATAATCTTGAATTACACCAAGTTTAAACTTAAAATATCACATGTTGAGATTTTTTGAATGCAGCATGGGGCCTAAGAGATCAAGAAAAGCTATTTCAATCCAAACCAAGCAGGAAATTATAAAAAAAAAAACATGAAGAAGGCATTAGAACAAATGCGCTACGCACAGAATATGACATGTCGATATCAACTGTGTCGACAATTCTTGCACAGAAAGAAAAATTTAAAGAAGTGAAAGTGAGAGACAAATCTACCAGAGTGTTTAAAAGTAGATCCCTAATTGCAGAAACAGAGAGGTTACTTATCATCTGGATTAGGGAAAAACAGATGAAAGGTAATTCAGTTTCTACTGAATTTATTTGTGAAAGAGCCAGGGAGATTTACGAACATTTAAAGACAGATCAACCAGGTTCTTCAGGCACAGAATATGAAGATTTTAGGGCCAGCAAAGGCTGGTTCGAAAAATTTAAAAAAAGAAGTGACATTTTTAGTGTAGTTCGGCATGGTGAGGCTGCTAGTGCTGATCAGGAAGGGGCAGCAAAGTTTTTAGTGGAATTAAAGAACTGGTGGATGAAGAAAATTATCTTCCACAGCAAGTGTTCAATGTGGACGAAACTGGGCTGTTTTGGAAAAAGATGCCCAAGAGAACATTCATCACCAGAGATGAAGCCTCTTTACCTGGGCATAAACCCATGAAAGACCTTCTCACTCTATTGCTTGGTGCCAATGCTTCAGGGGATTTCCGACTGAAGCCTATGCTTGTCTACCATTCTGAAAACCCCAGGGTGTTCAAACAACAAAAAGTGGGAAGAGGAAAGCTTGGAGTTTATTGGAAGTCCAACCGTAAGGCATAGGTGACAAGACAGCTCTTTAATGAATGGGTTGTTGAGGTGTTTTGCCCTTCTGTGAAGAGCTACCTAACCACCAATAAACTCCCTTTAAAGGCTCTTCTCCTCATGGATAATGCCCCTGGGCTTGACCCTGAACTTGCCAGAACTTTGGAGTATCAATTTGACTTTGTGAAAGTGTTGTTTTTGCCTCCCAACACTACATCAATCATAAAGCCAATGGACCAGAATGTGATCAGCAACTTCAAGAAGTTGTACATGAAGAAAATGTTTAGGAGGTGTCATCAGGCAACTTCCACTGATCCTGAACTAACACTGGCACAGTTCTGGAAGACACAATTCAACATCCTGCAGGCTGTAAAATTGATTGTGTCATCATGGCAAGAAGTCTCCACTAGATCCCTCAATTTTTCATGGAAAGCACTGTGGCCATCAGTAGTCCATGATTTTGAGGGATTTGAGGAAGAAAGAGAGTTGGACCAGGAGATTGTGTCTATTGGTCAGTCATTGGGCCTTGAAGTGGAGGAGGAGGATGTGGAAGAGCTTGTGATGTCTCATGAGGAGGAGCTTACTCCTGATGACTTAAAGCAATTGGATGAGATGTTAGAGGCTGACAATGGTGAGGAGGAAAAGGAAAGTGATGACCATATGTCAACTTCAGAGTTAAAAGATGTTATTTACTACTGGGAGAAGTTTAGGAAACTGAAGCCTTCAAGGCACCCAGATGTGGAAAAGTCTGAACTAACTTTGTGTCATGTTGAGGACACAATGGTCTCCTTCTTTAAACTTAAGTTAATGATGAGGAGGAGAGATGCCCCACAGACCACAATTGACACTTTCTTCAGTAAAAGGCAGAGGGAACAAGATGCTAGCCCTCAGCCTTCCACTTCAAGAAGGAGAGAGGATGTTTCTGGTGGAAAATATGTCAGTCTAGAGGTTCCTGACATTTTCATGGAAGGTGACTCACCTTCCAAGAAGCAGTAAAATGCTTCTCCTCCACCTCCACTTCCTTCTCTTCTCCCTTCTCCTCCTCCACCTCCACTTCCTTCTCTTCTCCCTTCTCCTCCTCCACCTCCCACTTCAAATTCACATCATCATCATCATCATCATCATCCAGGAGCCTTCTACATACACACCTCAAAGTAAGTATACATTTCTACCTTTTTTGTTGAATTTAGGCAATTTTCGGTGAGCTGGAACCAATTACCCAAAAACACATTGAAACAATGGTTTCGGTTAACGAGCAACCTGCTGGAACGGATTGTGCTCGTTAACCGAGGGACCACTGTAATTGAGGTTAGACAGTGTTATAAATTTGATTACCGGGTACTGGCAGGATGCCATTAGAACCACCTGACCCTACCAACAGTGTTGCAATTCAGACACAGCCTTTTTTTTTTTACATTTTTGGTGTCTCCATTTCTGTTATTTTTTTTTTTCTGTGGAGTTTGCACAATAGTAAACTGTTTTACCTACAGTATTGTAAAACGATTTGGGA